TGTGTGTGTGTGAATCAGCGCAGGACATGTGGGGCTGCGAGGCACTGCTCTCTACATCGGCAACACTCACAACAGACGACAAACAGACGACAAACAAAAAAGCTGTGAAAAACTGCATCTATTTTCACTCGCTTTCACACATACGCCGCCCACACATGAACAGTGACTCCCTCCAGTCTGGGCTAAAAATACCACGAGCACCGCCATAAATCAATGTAACAGTAAAAAAAAACTGCATGTGAGTGAGCGTGTGTGCTGTGTATGTGTGTGACTGCACATGGTTAGTCGTAATGTGGTGTGACTGTGATCACGTGACCAGTATGTAGGACACACACATCAGTGCTCTGAAGGTGTGAGCAGCAAAGACACACTACTTTATGACTGTCACATTAGAAAGGATCAATGGTGGACACCTCTATGTGTGTGTGTGTGTGTGTATCTGGCGCACATATGTCCTTGCCGCTGTCTGCACTGAGCCTGCAGCTGTCTCAGTGTCCCACTTCTCACACTTGACGTAGAGGACAACAGTGGACGTCATTCAGCGACTGATCCACTCCATCGTCCAACATTTCAAACCTGCAACTTCCAGTGGAATAAGTGCTGAGGAGCAGGATCAGTGTGTGTGAGAGCAGTGTTTCAACAGAGCACGGTGCAGTGAGAGATATTTCAGTTTGTCATTTTTGCCATTTTGCACTTATTTCCATGCAGGCTAATTAACAGTGGAGTTCCAACACGAGCTGACACCAGAATGTATTATTATCAGACTCCAGACTCCAGCTTTTGCTACCAAAGATAGAATCATCCGTTGCCTAGTTCAAGTTCAGTTGGTACTGCGTGTACTGGCTGAGGTGGAGGGTGGTGGTGGTGGTGGTGGTGGTGGGGTTAGGGGCAGGAACTGTGAATGAATTCCGCTCCTGATCCAACCCTGATACCTTACATGTGCAACTTGAAGTTAACAAATCTGAAATGTCTCAGGTCAACTGTGATGGAGATGAAGAAATATGTGATCTGTGGCTGCTGTTCAGAAAGTTAAAAATGGAGCAGCCGAGTAGCTATGGGTCAACAATGAGTGCACGAAGGAAATGCGGGGCAGAATTAATGTCTGTCTGTTCCTGCATGTCAGTTATTCTTTGTACATTCTGACTTCATTATTGCTGCAGTGTGAGGACAGTAATGTTGAGACTCCAAAATTGTCTTTGGGTGACTTTCACTCTGTCAAAGGAGTTCTCTGCTTCTTTCTGAACCTGAGACGGCGCTGGCAAAAGCACAGTGATAAATGTCAGAGAAGGAAGTAGAAATGAGGAGGAAGTTAGCTGTGACGACACACATACTGAAAGAGTAAAAACACAGAGTGGATGCCTGAACCTAAACCAAGTCAGTGTGTGTTGCCTAACAGAGAAGGCCACAGCTGTGCAGCAGACCTGCGTGTGTTTTTAAAGCAGAAGGAGATGTGGTGTGAGGGGGCACGCTGTATTTTTATGCAAGATAAAATATAATAGAAAAAAGATATGAATGCACTGACCTGAGGACTTCGTATTAATACTGCACGTAACTGTATGCAGCCTCAGTGGAAGCTTTGGGATGAACTTTAAAGCCTGAAATAAAATAAAAATGTTTTCTTGTTGGAATCTATAAAACAACAACATCCTCAGTGATAACACAGCTGAAAAGCTTTTCCTTCCCTCGACATCCAGCAGCTCAGCAGTGCGGCACAGCTGTACACCTCAGGTGTGTGTGCTCACTGCCCCCACTGAATGTGTGTGTGTGTGTGTGTGCCTTACACCAGATAAGGCAGAGGCAGATGCTGGATCAGAATTTTTCTATTTGCATAAAACATTTTTGTTCCTACATTTGTGTATGGTTTTCATCATAACTAATGTTTTGTTTATTTCTTCAACCTTGCTCGTGTTTATCCCTGTGGCATTGAAGGCCACACTGTGTGGAATTAAAGATGACACCCTGGAGAGAAAGCACTGAAGGTGTGGGAAATATACAGCATGAAGCAGCAGCACCTGGTATTACAGTATACTACTTATACTGCAGTAACTGCTGTGTCCAGATTCTAACTTGAGGAGTTTAGCTATTTTATTTTTATTTTTTTGTAGGAAAATTAAAAATTATATATATAATGTCAAACAGTTACTAAAGCTTGTCAGGATTCTTCTGTCAGAGCAGGGGTGTTGACCTGAGCCCATTTCTGATTTCAAGTCATGTTCTTTATTGATTTTAGAAAGTTCAGTTATTGATTAAAGAATTCAGGATTTGTTTGTTTGTTTGTTTCATACTCTCAGATTATTTGGCTTTATTCTGCATAGGAGCCATACTCTCAGATTATTTGGCTTTATTCTACATAGGAGCCAAATAATAAACACAGAAAAATGATTTTTCTATCATTAAAACATTGTAAATAACTGTACATGAATGAAATAAAATTTTAAAAAAAGTATTTATTTAGTTGGAAGGTATTAACCGCCCTAACCGGGATTTGAACTTGCCCAGGAGGTGAACCCTGGGGTTCCACACCAATGACAGAGACATTGCCTCTGGGCCAAAGCGCCACAGCCAAATAATAAACACAGAAAAAAGATTTTTCTATAATTAAAACATTGTAAATAGCTGTACATGAATGAAATACAATTTTAAAAAAAGTATTTATTTAGTATTTTGCAGTATTCCCCTTTTGTGGAAAGAAAAATAAAAAATAGTCCAATTGAAATTCACCTTGCTGTGTGTCCCCCTTCAGGAGTAAAGTCCCACAATGACCCTAAAGTGGTCACATTGCTAAAGGGTTTCCTAAAATTAGCCAGATAACTTTCAGCTTTTATTTAGCAACTCTGCTGTGGTTTATATTTAGAAATGAAAGGGAAGTGAGCTGATCACACACGTTTACAAGATGAATGGACGTATTAAAAACAAATGGTCAGGACTACAACATGATCAAAGCACTTTTCCAAACGCACAGCTTCGTTTTCCAAGTGTTTGAAGTGACTGGCTCATTGACGAGGCGCTGCTTGGACTCTTGCTGCCGAGAGAAATGAATGCAAGAGGTAACGCTCGCACTATCTGGCTGCGCTGCATCTCCCTCATCTACGTGGCTCTGGACGCCCACCAGCTTACACTTGAAAACTTCCGACTTGGTGTGAAACTCCTCCAACTGAACTGCTTCCTACCAGATGTGGTAAATCCTGCTGTAAGGTCGTCCATCACGCCCAGTGTCGGGTCAACACAGGCCAATTTTCTATCTTTAGTTTCAGTGATGCATAGGCAGGGAGTCAGGAAAGGTCTTGTTGGTAAATGAGGACGGAATTGGTGAGAGGAGAGCGAGTCTGGGTGAGTGAGCCTGCAAATGCTGGCGAAGCTCAGAGGGATAATAACAGTAATGGTTCATCAAAGTGTTATGGTTTTCTCTCTGCTCACACACTGCTGTCTCTATGCTGCTTTATAGGACAGTTAATGATGCAGCAACTCAGATCTGTGATGCAACATTGGCACCAGATGAAATGGCAATATCATTTTTTATGCACCACCTTAATCCAATGTGTGTAATTGATGGAATAAAGAAAGATAAACAATAGAGTGCAGCTAACTTTGTATTGCTCTCTGTTGTTTACCACAATATAAATTTTATAGGATAACAAGCGAATACAATTCCAAATACACTGGAATTTTATACGCCTGCTGTTGGTAATTGTTGGAAATCTTTATTTAGTTTTCGTTGGATTTATTTCTTTGTTGCAAGCCAGAACTCATAGATCTTACATTTATAAAATGGATGAAAGCATATGTTTTTGAATGAAACCTGTGATTCTGAAAATGGAATTTTTTTTTTAAAGGAATTCTATTCTTTTAACTATTCTTTTAAACTCTTTAACTTGGAAATCAGTAGAGTTTTATAAAAGAGCATAGAAACAATGAACATTATCCCTTAAATATCAGCGACAGTATGTGGTTAGCA